ACATCAAGGAGGGTGATATCCCTTTCAACAAGAATTCTTGCAACTGAATGCCTGGTTAGATTGAAGGTGAGTGTAACCAACTTCATAAGTTTCTCTAGTGCAGCTCCAATAGAATAGAGGACTTGGTGATTGAAGTAATGCAACTTTAGGCCAGGTAGTTTAAACCATATTGGAACTATAGGTGATTCTTGGCTAGAATCAAATTCAATGAAAAATATTTTGGCATAGTCTTCCGCTTTAGATAATTGTATTATAACATGTCTCCCATCAAAGAGGTCAACCTTCCAAAGTCTCAATAGTTTGAGATCTAAAAAAGCCTTTCGAACGGTTTCCATTTTAGGATGTCCCAATTGGAACTTCCCAATGAGGGTGAATTTGCACTTGTTAACCAGGTTGAAAACTTCAACATCAGAGATAAAATAGAGCTAGTTTGACACTCCTCCTACACGTCTTCTTGATAAGGTTGAAGTCCTCCCGGTTCAGGTACGTGCAGGGAGGACGGACGCGAGTGCAACGGTCAATCCGTAGCTGTCGAGCCAAAAGAGAGGCGCGACGACGTGTGAACTGATCTCATGGATCCAACCATATTAACAAAAGAAGCCTTCCCAAGGTTTAAAACTGAAATAGTCGGTGCTGTAATAGTCGGTGGTTGAGAAGGAGCAGTAGCCATGGAACAGGGAGTTGAACAACGAGAAGCTGCAAGAATTCAGTCTGGACTGCGAGTAGCTCAGGTACGTGCAGGGAGGACGGACGCGAGTGCAACAGTCAATCCGTAGCTGTCGAGCAAAAAGAGAAGCGCGACGACGTGTGAAGCCTTCCCAAGGAACAGAAACGCCTTCCCAAGGAACAAACGACTCGTGAAGAACGAAGCCGACGCCGCACGACGAAGAGCAAAATAGACAAAAAGATACCAGGTTTCGCCATAACGGCGAAACCCTAGCAAAGCCCATTTAACGTAAATAAATTTATTCATTACGTACATGTCAGGACTTGAATTGATGTCCAGATAAAGATAATTAATATAATAAGCCTAAAAAGATGAACAAGACCAAGGCGTATGCTTCTGAGTACAACACATTTAGATATATATTCCCGCGTATTTATTAATAAAAGGGGGCTGCAAACAAACAGGTGTGAGCCCATTTAACTTCATTAAAACATTAAATGAAGCAAATAAATCATATTTAAGCTGTATAAATTTTTAATTCCTCAAACGCTAAATCCTCACTGTGAGCTTTATGCCTATAGATTGTTATATAATTCGATGGGTTTACTCCTCTGTTGTATTTAAATAACAAAGTACTTAAATCATTGCCAGATGTGGGACTAAAAGACTTCACATCTTGTACTTTCCAAGGACCGCTGGTCTTTTCTCTGATTTTAGGGACATTTTCATAAAAACCACCCAATTTCTATGTATTTACACATCTAACACCTAAAATTTTATTTTTACATTTATACCACTAAAATCATTCATATCAAGTCAAAAAAAATCACAATTTTAATTTTTAAAAAGTTAAATACACATGTCCATGCATAAGACGAGTAGTACGCAAAAAATTAAGGTTTAGCTATTTGAAATGTAAATACATACGAATTCAATACTATGTATGTAAATTGTCCCAAGTAAAAAATATTACTATTTTAATGCTATTACATTATTGTATTAAAGTAAAAGTACTTTTCTTAGAAAAAGATATTCAACATAGGTGGGTGAGTTACTTTGATAAACTTTTTAATGAAGTTTCTGAAAATATGATTGACCTTACTGATTTTAATATTGTGAATGGTAATAAAGCTCATTTTTACTGTCGCATTAGTAAAAAATAAGTTAAGGAGACTTTAAAGAAAATCAAGTGTGGAAAGTCTGTAGGACCTGATGATATCCCAATTGAAGTGTGGAAATATTTAGGAGATTTGGGAGTTTCTTGGCTTACTAAACTCTTTAATATTATTTTAAAAACTAAAAATATGTTTGAAGTGTGGAGTAAGAGTATTTTGGTCCCCATTTTTAAGAATAAAGGGGATGCAAAAGAGTGTGCAAATTATAGAGGAATTAAGATGATGTGTCATACTTTAAAGTTATGGGAGAGGGTAATTGAATATAAGTTAAGACGCATTACAAAGATTTCTCATAATCAATTTGGATTTATGTCGGGCAGGTCTACTATGGGAGCTATACGTTTATTGAAATGTTTGATGGAGAAGTTCAGAGATAATAAGGTGAATCTACATTTGATTTTTATTGATTTAGAAAAAGCTTACGATAAGGTTTCAAGAGATATCTTTTGGAGAGTTCTTGAGAAAAAAGGTGTTGATATGATTTATATTCATGTCATTAAAGATATGTATACTGGAGCTGTTACTTGTGCTTGAACTGAAGGAGGATTGACGAAATATTTTCCTATTTCTGTTGGAGTACATCAGGGATCGGCTTTAAGCCCATATCTTTTTGCTTTAGTTATGGATGGTCTTACGGGACATTTACAAGAGGATTCACCTTGGTGTATGTTTTTTGTTGATGATATCCTTCTCGTGGATAAGACAAGAGAAAAAATCCAGGAAAAACTTGAATTATGAAGGTCTACATTGGAGTTTAAAGGCCTTCATTTGAGTAGGAACTAAAACTGAATACATAGAATGTAATTTGAGTGGTAGTAGCTCTAGTGACAAAAGTGTAATTTTGGGTGATTAAATTATTAAAATGCGTGAACCTGAAAGGAAAATTTTATAAGATGGTGGTGAGACCTGCAATGCTCTATGGCGCTGAACGTTGGCCTTTAAAAGAGAAGCATAATAATAAGTTAAGTGTTGCCGAGATGAGAATGATTAGGTGGATGAGTGGCTTTACACTTAGAGACAAAATGTGAAATGAATATATCCGTGATAGGGTTGGTGTAGCTCCTGTGATGGACAAAATTAGAGAAAGTCGTCTTAGATGGTTTGGTCACATTAAACGTCCATCATCCAATGACCTGATTAAGAGTGTAAATGTTTTAGATTCTACTTGTGTTAAGAAAGGCGGAGGTATACCTAAGAAGACTTGGGTTTATTGTATAAAAAATGATATTACTTTACTGGAACTAAATGAAAATATGACACTAAATAGAACGCAATGGAGAAAAATGATTCATGTAGCCGACCCCACGTAGTGGGATTAAGGCTGTTGTTATTGTTGTTGTTGTTGTTGTTGCTGCATTATTGTTTTGTTAAAAAAATACTTTAGTTTTACATACTCACAATATATATTTGTATTAAAAAATCTCTATTTATTGTGAATTTGAGTGAAACAAAATAGAAAAATAAAAAAATACGAAATAAAAATATAGATAGTCTGATAATGTATATTTATTTATTAATTCTTTTAAATTCACTTATTAATTTTTTAATATATCTTTTGTTTTTTTGTAATTTGTCACATAAAACTTGCAATTTCATTAAATTATATTTAATGTAAAGATTCATGCTAAAACATGAACTTATTTTTTAATTTATTTTTTATTAGCTTTTTAATTATCTTTTGGTTAATAATATAAATAGTTAATTTAATTTTAAATTCATTCCAATCTTATTTAATTTAATTTGAATTAAATTCTAATTTTAATTATAATTTATATTGAATTTTATGTCAATATCAAGTTTTAATCGAGTTTGTTCATGAGCATTAAATATTATTATCCACGATGATAAACAAAGAGTAAAAATGTGTTTAAATTTGTTAATTTGTTAATCAAATTATTAAAAAAAATTAAGTTTCAGCCTTACTGTTTGACCTCACTCTCGGGACGTGATGCACATCTCACTCTCTACCTCTCTAGCAAGCTGAAGTTGTTTTTGCCCATTTCTTCACTATGAAGGTCTTAGAAGCCTCCATTGAAACCCTCTTAGTCATCCGCTCAAACAATCACCCCAGCACGCCTGAAGGTTCCCTCCTCGACATTCTAGTCAGAGAAACCTTTGGTTTAACTTCATATTAAATATTCAAATTTTGGTATCTATCTGGCTTTTATATTCATGTATTCACTTTGTAACTGATGTTACAGGCGGAGTCAACAGAAAATATTCTCGACAGGGGAGCAAGAATAAGCAAAGATAGAGCAAAGCCTCAACAAAATTGATCAGCATTCTTTTCTATTTTCTGGAGCAAGAATAAGCAAAGATAGAGCAAAGCCTCAAGAAAATTGATCAGCATTCTTTTCTATTTTCTACATTATGAATCTAGTTTGTATAACTTATTATTTTATAGAATTATTATTCTTCGACAAAACTTAGCCTAATTTGAGAATTGACAGTAATTTGAGAGAATATGTTCGAGTATAATAACGAATAATAATTTATTTCAAGAATAGCATACAATATACCTATATTTTAAAAAAAATTACCAATAGTGTGTTGTCATTTAAAAATGGATGATAATTGAAATAAATTGAAAAACTTGTTATATTTTTCAATTAATTAATGAAAATGAAACACAATTTTGTATTGAATTATGTGATATTCCTTTTATTTTGGCAAAATTAATTTATTTTTATAATAAGCTTGTCCCTCCTAAAAACAAAGGTTAGTTCCGACCCTACTAATCAGCATGCCTTGTGCTTCTAGATAAAACATATTAGAAGAGATGATAGTAGAAATGCTACAGCATGTCCGGCAATAAATGGGTTTTTATAACTCAAAACCATGTCGAGTAGATTGATACATGAAAAAAAAAAACGTTGGCATGTCATACTTAAACTAGCACCTGTCCATTACGGAAAAACTCAATCATCCTTATGCGGTTCGGTTATTAACACAGCTCATAAGATCTCAAAAAACAATTCAAGATTAATCATACACTTTCTGTTCAATTAAAATAAAAAAACAGCACTCACCATTTCATTCATGCTCATATATATATCAATCAACAAACTAGTTAAAATCATAGGTATAGAATCAAGCCAAAGAAATCAAAACGCTTCTCTGTAATTGATGAAAAAAAAATACCTAAGATTGTTTGGTACCTGTATCCAACAACAATGTAAGGAACACCTGCAAGGAAAGATTGGATCTGCAATAATAATAATAATATGTTATTTGTAACATTTTTTATTCTTAACAAAAGAATAAGAAAGGTGCATTCTATAAAACCAGACAGATTAGGTGATAAACTGCAGATAAGCAATTTTTTACCCAGAATTTCAGAAGTTTTTCTCTTTCATATCGCTCTTCAGTTCGATGATCCAACTGCTCAAACGTAAATAAAGGCAAAGAAAGAGAAGATAAATGAATGCTCCTAGAAAAGTTCTGAGCAACCTAGCAAGAAGATTCGCATTTTCTACAACTAGAAAATAAAAAAATAAAAAATAAGTTAAAATATATATATATAACAAAGAAAAAGTCAACCTCTCGACTAGTCTTCAACTCCACATAGAATTTCCTTCCGTCGTCAGTTGTATCGCAGCAGTCCATCTCTGCACCCATAATGATTCGGTGTGCTCCTAACTTGGTTTTGATCACGGCACAGAATTCCATATTGGCATCAATACCTTTACCATCTTCACCCATTTCTCTCGAGTTCTCAGTTGCTAGGTTCTCAAAGGCATAGCCCCAATAGCATCTTGCGTACATAATAGAAAATTCATATCTTAAGCTTCCAATTTTATGAAAAGAATCAGCTCAACATTCTGCTCTCCAGATTTATTATATCATAACCTTACATAACAAAACAAGGGAAAATATGTTACATCAGAACTACTGTATAATAAGGTCAACAAATGCCTATTTAAGTGCCTTGATGCATTACTGACTATCCACCCTTTATTTGATATTTTAGCAAAGTGTTGTCTTTTGAAGAACATCCAACCACAGCTATCCATATCTAAATGGACATGTACAACACTGTAAAATCCAAGAACTTATTTCATTATTGGATTCCCATGCTTTCAAAATAGAGCCATGAACTTAGTCTTGTAGAAATCAACAAAAAGTTCCACTTCATCATTTAAACATAAAAAATGTAAATAAACTCGAACTTCAATTAGTTAGCATGTTAGAAATGTAAATGATTTTGAGAATGTGGGAGACAATGTAATGCTACAAAGCCCAAAAATGATCCCTGGAAGTTGATCCCATGCTCTGTTGGGACCATCAATTGAATAACAAAGTTCAAATTTTTCCACAAAATTCCCAACCCCACATGGACAGAAATCATTGAACTACACTATAGCTAATTTTTTTGCAGTTAACAAAAGGCTAAAGTATCGGAAAGCTTTTTTTGACTATAAAATTTTGGGAATTTTACATATACACCACACAATTCTTATGTATTTGCATATCTAACACCTAAAGTTTGATACATACACTAATTTACATATACACCACACAATTCTTATGTATTTGCATCTCTAACACCTAAAGTTTGATACATACACTAATAACACTATGGTGTCATAAACCTATGCATGAAAATAAGAATTTAACAATTAAAAGGTTAGCAAAAATGATAATTTTAATGTCAAGATAAAGTTTTGAGTGTTATGTATGAAAATATGAAATTTTGGATGTTAGACATGTAAATGCATAAGAAAGAGTGGCAATGCCCCTAGAAGTTGTTTGATTGACTTCTCAAAAGCATAAGATACCATAATTTTGATTTGTAGGGAAACACACCACAAAAATCTACGCCCTATGTGTGCACCCCTCCTTGGCTTCAAGAACATGGATAGCACTAGTGTAAGCAATCCACATAGCATAGTAAATTCATCTTCATTTTTACAGCACAAAATTACCAAAATAGGCAAAATGATCTGACAAAATTTGTCCATTTCAGGATATGCAACATAATCTATGCTATAATGCAATTAAATAAATTACCATAATACCTTCGGCGATCAATCTCTGATTGCGGCCTCTCTGGAAGTTTATGCACATCAAGATACACAACACCATTTCTTTTATGCACACCCATCTTCCATGGTTCATTTCGTATGTAAGCAGTAGCCATTATCTGATACGAAAACACAAGAATTCTATTTACTCTCAACAATCCAAGGTGACGAAAACTAATGAAGAACCAAAAAAAACCCAAACTCGTACTACAATTCTGCATGTCTATAATACGGCCAATGAGAGCTACGAAATATGGCAAATATAGGTGCTCAAATTATAATTTGTATACATGATCAGCTAAATGTATACCTTATTGAGATTGTTACGAAAAGTCTGCAGAAAGGAGATAAAGAAGTTAGAAGACAATAAGCATCTTATTTATAAGAATGAAGAGTCAGAATATATAAAGAGAATAATCAATACTTTCAGGAATGATGAAATTAAAGCTGTTTACCACAAAATGAATATTCTGAAGGGGAATGTTTGCATGCCTTATGCAACCAAGAAGATCGCCAAAACCAAAACCTTCGGAGCCCAGATCTAATGATAACATAAAATCAAAATATTACTTAATACTTGAACGGCAGATATTAAATTTTCAAGAATTAATCAAGATGTCAACATGTTTTACAGAATAGCAACAGCATAGAGTGAAATTAAGAGTAGTATACGTTTCTTAGGTACTGAGGGCATGCCAATGGTCTTTAAAAGAGCAAACAACCTAATAGTGGTGATGTATTGTAGAGTAGAAAGAAATTCTAAACAGAATACATGTAGCTAAGTTGACAAAATTAAATGTTTTCTTTGCCTCCTATAAGAAAAACAAAAAATTTGAGTGCAAATAGGCTATTAAGTTGGTAAGAAAAAGGGTATTCTTAAACTTTTCTGTAATAAAAAATGGGTAAATTTACATACGTAGCACATGTCTTTCATGTATTTACATATCTCACAACAGAACTTTCATATTTAGATGCATTGAACTGAAATATTTAATATCACATAAAAAAACCACTATCACCACTTTTAAAAGTGGTGATAGTGATATTTTTTATTTGATATTAAAAAATAGCATTATTAAAAAGTGATAATAGTGCTATTTTTTATGTGATATTAAACATTTCAGTTCTATGCATTTAAATATGAAAGTTCAGTTGTGAGACATGTAAATACATAAGAATTGTGTGCTATGCATGAAAATGCCCCTAAAAAAGTGTTATGTTGGCCTGAGTAGAATGTTCTTTTGAATTTACAAAGATATAAAAAAGATAAGAAAAAAAATCTCTGCTTAGAACAAATAAAGTAGAAACTATGCAAGAAAGAGGACGTTCAAATGTCAAAGGTTCATTGTCGACGATTTTAACTGTAGAAGACAGATTTTTGGTTAAAGTTGGAGTAATAGCATCAAGCCGTTATGACTTGGTCATATGCACACATACAGCTTAGCAAACGCCATCGAAACATGTTTTTACAGGCATACCATGTAAACCAAAGAAACCTGAAAACCACATGGCATAAAAAATGGAATTAATTGTGAGAAAATTAGATTACAGTCCAATCTTCAGATAGTCATGTTACAAAAAAATATGATTCATAAGAAAGGGGGTGGGGGGGAGGTTGTGGAGAAGGGAGAGAGGGAAGACCTTTCTTCTCAACAAATGACAGAAATCCTTTATTCAGATCTGCTCCCACATCATCACAAACTAAGCGTTTAAAAAGTCTCTAGCAGCAACAAAAAATAGAATAAAATAAATATGCAATTTCGAATAAAAGGTGTCAAGTGGAAAATCTTAGAAAAGTAAACCAAAAAACACAGGAGATGAAAGGCAATGACCTATACGCAAATGATTTGGCCATTCCAAGCAGATTTATACATAATTATAAAACTAAATCAGAAGAATATAACAGGATAAGTTCTTACCAAGCTGCGATCGTCAAAATAGACATCTCCACCTTCAATGCGACTATAACATGCCAACTCACAAGGCTTCATGAAGTATTGAATAATCAATTTTTTTCCAGTAAAATTATTCTTTGTGAAAGATGTACTCTCAACCATGAAAAATTTTCTTAAATACCTCCTGAAATTGGATCGATTTTCTTGACAAGGTTTCTTCACTTTTGGTTAGCCTTAATTCAGAGACAAAACGCTCATCATTCCGTCCATTTCCATATGAAAACTTATTGCCATAACCATAACTCTGTCTAGGGGGATATCCTGGTCTTGGAAGCAGTCCACCTCTGCCACGTCCAAAAGTACCCCTTGCGTGGTTATTGGTATTCCGCATTGAAGGTAGCACTAAAATAATTTTCCAGCTTTAAAGACAGCACAGATAAATTAAAAAAAAAAAAAATCAAGCAATTTTAAAAACCTTAAAAATACCAATCAAGGCCAGTTAACCTAACAAAATAAAACTTAGCTAAGAAAAACTTAGAGAAATCAATTCAAGAAAATATCTTAAGAAGCAATACTGGCAAAAAAAAATTTGTAGGCAACGATCACCATGCAGCATCTTAAAGCTTTTAAATCTCAATTGCGGTGTATTCAGAGAGATGAGCAGAAGTTAATGAAAATGGTTGACTACATTTTAGCAATAAAACATCCACGCAAACAATTGAATTTGAATAATAAAAAATCAAACACAACATCACAAGAGTACTTTCTAACTCAATTATAACACTTTGAAAGTGGAGCAATTGCCATGAAAAACGTGTTTGTGCTAAAAAAACATGTCACCCATTAAATACTAAATATATCTATATCTGATCCGACAAGCATATGTTTGAATTAAAGCAAGACAATGATGCACAAAGTAAGAAAATAAGATGAATTCAAAATTTTCTCTCCCCGAGAATCATGCGACCGCTATAAAAAAAGTATAATTATTTTGAACATGGCAACTCTCTTTCAAACTCAAATTCAAACCATAACATCTCGTAAGCTCACACTTGAGTGGTTCATCTTGCCTACAGCCTAGAGTAAGTTCAATCATCCATGCCCCAAAAATGAGTTGACAAGACTTTTGCTGACTGAAACTCAATCAGGGGTCTTCCAAAGGACTTTTCATTGTTCGTCGACATACTGTCTTCAATGACTTGTATATCTTTTTTTTTTTTTTTAATACAAATCCCCAATACCATACTTTTGAAATACAAGCAAGAGTTCTAACTCAAGAACCTTGTCCTCTACAAGAAAGTAAAGTTGATAGGGTCCAAAGAACTAAACAATCCTGAAAATGGTCGTATTAACAAAAAATCTCAATTGAAGGAGACTATTTTCAAAATACTCCCAAAGACTAACATAAATCATTTCGGGTTGAAGCCAAAACAAAGAAAAAGAAACCTAGAAAAATCACAAAATCTAAAATTCCCAAGAAAAATCAACTATTTATAGCTTAAAATAACTATCTACTACAAACTATTTTATTTTGTAGAAAGTGCCAAACTTAAATGAACATTAGCTCATGGAATTAATGAAGAATCAAACGTACTTCTATGGTCACTTGCAAAGATATTATGACAGTAAGAATGTGACACGTGTCCTCTAACTATAATATTTCAACACCAAATGGCATCACGACATAATACAATTATGACTGAGGCCCTCCGACCAAGTGGTTTAACTTAAATGATGCCACTAAATTATAATCAAACTAAAGCTTGCAAGTCCCTCAATATCCTAAATCACTTAAGTGATAAATCATATGATGCACTCAATACGGCATAAAATCCTTTGTTAACTGAGGTGACTTGATAATATCAGCTTACACAAACATCCACCCAATGTCTAAAAGATACTTGAATACAATACATAATTATTGATAAAGGTTCCAAAACCCAAATTGGGTCAAATTTCTATTCTAACTAAGTCTAAAACAATCCTATATCACAGAATCATAGAATCTTGATCGGGACTGTAATCATTGTCCCACCATTTTCTCTTACGCAAAAGAACAATTTTTCTCTATGTTAAATCCAAATTGTTGCTATCACATGTTAATCACCTAGCACCTAAAACTAGCCTTAATAAAAAATTCTCTCACTACCAAGAAAGGTAATTAAGCACAGATACTAGTGACTATGGGAAAATTAGAGCCACTTCATAAAACCCTCTTAAAAATGACGATGACATCTTCGGTTGGTGGATTATTTCACATTATATTGCTCTTTAAATATATACCCCCCCGGAAGAGCCATATGCAAATTTGCATAGCCAAACAAAGACTCTAGTTAAGATATTGAGAATGGTTGATGGTGAAAAGGATTTAGCAATGAAATTCATCTAATAAACTATGAATATGGCAAAAGAAGGGAAAAAAAAGATTTGAAGAAGAACCATAGAGTGTTTATAAGAGATATGTGATACTATAAATAAAAAATGGGATTATCAATCGCAGTATAATTTGCAGACAATTGCATATTACTTGAACCCCAAACTTTAGAATGTTGATGACATAATTGTGAATTAAAACGTAAGACTACTTCATATGTGTATATGAATAGGCTTGTCATCGAGGTAGAAAATCTAAAGGCTAATAATGAACTTGAACGGTTTTATTTAAGGAATATAATGTTTGAATTTAGAGCAGCCTGGTTATGCTAAGAAATACAGTGTCGAAAAATGTTCATGCACTTATAATTTAATAACAAAAAGTATCATTTAAGCTTCTTAACTGTATCATCTCTTTCATTCTTATTCAGAACGTCGAGAGTCATAATTTAGATATAAAATAAGCTAAGTTAAAGAATTTACAATCAAAATTTGCAATCCTATTTACGCAACTTTTACATTTAAACATAGTTGGACTACATTCAAATAGGTCCATACAAGTAGGAAAATTGATTAGCTGTGGGATGGATGAATAAATTAGTTTATGTTATATTTCATAAAAAATTAAAAGATAGGCATCTTAAATTACAGAGATAAAGAAATAATAATCAAGGAAATAATCATTGTATACAATGTAATGATGAATGAATAACATCAAAAATTCATTAAGAATTTGAAATTGAAGATGAAAGAATAGCCTAAAGTCATGGACATAAAAATACCCTTGATAGCCTTAAAAGGGTAACAAAATTGGGTGTAACATCTACTTGATAACCATTCATAAAAATGTGGGATTGGAGCACAGAACAGGTCAAAAAGAAGCTTATTATAAAGGATTATTTAGTTTATTATTATATTGCTTATTTTATTTTAAATTATATTGAATCTAATGTTAAGTGATATGGAGAATTAGAAAAGAAATGTAGCAATTGAAGAAAATTTTGAAGCTAATGATGAGAATGAATAGAGGGAAGATAGAGATGTTAAGAATGATGATTCTTTTGAATAAGTTGAAAGTGAAGAAGACTATGGCTCTTGATCATCATTAAATTTTTAAAATTTACATGGTGTTTACTTGAATCTTGTTTTACACTATGAATCTTGTTTCACACTATGACATTAACATAACAATTCAGATTAAAAATTAATTTACTTTTCTTATTATGTAATTATATGATTTATGATGATAAATTAAGTTAGCCTATTAATGATTTACGGCATAACTGAAAACTATTTTTAAATTTTTTTATTTTTCTAGTTTGAGACTTATAACTCAAATCGCCTCAAGGTTTATGCTTAGCCTCACTAAGACAAAGCACCTCAATTATCAGTTTTGTCTTTTTAAACATTAGAATTAGCATCCTTTCAATTTTTTTCATCAACTTCAATCTCAGTCATGTTTTTATCCAACAAATAAAATACAACAAGATTATTATTTAAAATAATGACTATATTAATGATTTTAACATATATCACATAAATTTCTATACTAATCTTTTCTATTACTTTTTTATCGACTTGGGATGCTCTTTTGTTTCCTCCATGAAAAAAGCCAATACTGAAATCTACCTATCATAATTGTGATGGTGTTAATTTTCATACTTCGCAAATCATTTATCATCTAAGGCACATTATTACTAACAACTTTCTTATATCTGCCTTTTCATTTTTTGATAGAAATTATGTAAATCAAATAGTTCATCCTAGATTGGCATTTGGGACATTTTAAATCCATTGATTTACTAAATCCGGATTTCACCCATTTCTGACCTAAATCATAGATTTAGTAAGCAGAGCAATTCAACAAATTTAACGGAATTTAGCCAATAAAAAATAAGATTGAAGGGCAAGAAAGGGAAGAACAATTCACCTGCAAGCATGTTGCAGCTATTAGCTCTGCTTGCAAGCATTGATGTTTCTTCCTGTCTGCAAGCCTCATCGCGATATCTACCTCTAAGCTTTTATTAGGTACAAGCAGATAACGGGAGGAAAACGATGGCTTTGAATTAGAGAATGTGGGTTTCTATATGGAATTAGAGGTAGGAAAATATTGATTTAATTTAGTTATTTATGTTAAAATAGCTTATTTAAGAGAAATTAAAATTATGTCATCTAATATAGTTAACTAAAAAATTTAACTTTTAATTAACATTATAATTGACTAAATAATAAAATATAAAGTCAATATTTTATAAAATTAGTTTTTAAATTAATTTAACTATATTAAAGTTAGTTTTAATTGAATTAGTTGAGTAAATAATTAATTAATTCTTAGTAGATATTAAATATTGATTATTGTTTAGTTAATTTAGTATAATAAAAATTAATGATTATTTAACTTAGTTAATTAATAATTAATGAATAAATTTTAAAGAATTAAATAATGACTAAATTAGTGTAATAACAATGATTAATATGAAATTTACTAAATATATTATTTGGTTATACTTGCATAATATTTTTCAAACACTTTTATCAAATATTATTATTTAAATTCTAAACACTCCCTTTGTAGGACCCAAGTCCCGTATGCGAAAAATGGAGGATTATGTTAGATAATCGACAACCAGCGTAAAATATTTTAAAAAAATATATATAACATGAATCTTTTAAATCAATGTCAATGTTAGGGCGTCCTCTAGAAGTGATACGTTATATGACTTGAATATAATGAAAAGTGTGCAAGAGCCACTGAATCACGCTCGGGTGTAGTGTTAAATAAGCAAGAGTTCTCATATTACGGATAGATATAGACAAAAAAAATTTGTCCATAAAATTAATATTAAGATATGAACTTGAAATATATGTACTCTCACGAATACATTAATGTAAATAGTAGATATTATGAATCATAAGAAGATAAAAATCTTATGCATTCAATAAACTAAATAAGTTGAAGAAAAAACTAAGTAAAATAATAGCTTAAGTTTTAAACTTCGATATTCTGATAAAAGTTTTACTAGAAATTATATATACATCATTATATATAAGAGTTTGTAAAATAATATTGTCAGATTAATATAATTTGAGATAGAGATATAACTCTAAAGATTGTTTTTGATTTCAAAGTTAGCTATATTAACTCACTTGGTAATACGCAAAGGCAGTCAGGCGCCCAGTGTTAGTTGTACATTTCCCGCACTAATGATTATCAGTGATGGTGTAACAGATCGAATTCTCAACTATCAAGATATTATCCTCTTGGCCTATTGGCTTCACAATTTTGCCTCATTGGTGTAACTTCTAAGAAGGTCACCTATCCTAAGAGTGCTCTAGCACGAGCACGCTTAACTTTGGATTTTCTGATAAAATTCAAACTATTACACTAAAAGGTACCTCAGTATTTAAGAGTTCAGTTTCTTTCTACTTTAAGAGGTTTCACAATCTCCCTCACATAAGTAACAGATGTCATCATTTGTGCTCTAAAGCCAAATCATCCATCAGACTGATAAGTTACCAGAGGTAGCCTCTACATATTCAAGTAATGGCTCCCCATCATATAACACTTTGTCCTATACAAAGTTCAAGAGGTGGCTCCCAAGGCATAGCACTTTATTCTATATGGTGCTTGATTCATATTTTAAGGCTGGTGTAATGTTCTGATACCATTTGTAACAGCCCAAACTCTCACCCATTTTGATATTGTTCGTTTTGGCTTAATGGCTTTAAAATTTTACCCTGTTGATGTAACTTCCTAGGAGATCACTCATCCTAGGAGTGCTCCTATTTGAGCATGTTTAACTTTATAGTTTATGATGAAACTCCAACCGTTACACTAAATGGTGTGTACCTTGATGTTTAAAATTTTGGCTTCATTCTACTTAAAAGGTTTCACAATCTTTCTCACTCAAGTAAATGACGTCTACGTCAATTTTCTTAGCCCATAATCATCTAATAGGCAGATAAGATTCTATAGATGGCCCATAGAGCTTCAAGAGGTGGCTCCTACCATGTAGAATTTTATCTCATCTTAGATTTAAGAAATGGCTCCCATGATGTAGCATTTTATTATGTATAACACTAAGTTTGCATCTTCAACTGGTGTAATGCTTTGCTATCATTTGTAACAGCTCAAACTCTCATCCATCTAGATAATTTCCTCTTTGACCTAATAGTCTCACAGTTTTGTCCCAATGATGTAACTTTTGAGGAGTTCACTCATCCCAAAAGTACTCCCATGCGAGCATGCATAAGTTTAGAGTTCATGATGAATCTACAATTGTCACAACAAAAGACGTCTCGAGGTTTAAGAGTTTAGCTTCATTATACTTCAACGGATTTCACAATCTCTCACTTAATTAACTGACATCATCATTGGTGCTCTAAAACCAAAACCATTCATCAGGCTGATAGGAAATAGAGGTGGCCCCTACATATTCAAAGGTGGCTCTCACCATGTAACACTTTGTCTCATCCAGAGTTTAAGATGTGGCTCTCACCATGTAGCACTTTGTCTCATCCAGAGTTTAAGATGTGGCTCCCATGATGAAGTATTTTGTTTTGTACGATACTTATTTCCCATCTTCAGGTCAGTTTAATACTTTGATATCATTTGTAATTGCTTGAACTCTCAATCATCGAGACATTGCCCGTTTTGGTTTAATGGTCTCACAATTTTGCCTCGTTGGTATAACCTCCGAGGAGGCCATCCATCCTGAAAGTGTTCTAGCACGAGCATGCTTAACTTTAGATTTTCTTATGAAATTCCAATAGTTATACCAAAAGGTGCCTCAATGTTTTGGAGTTTAGCTTCTTTCTACCTAAGGGGTTTTACAATCTCCTCCGCATACGTAATTGGTGTTCTCATCAACGGTATAAACCCAAAATCATCCGTAATGCTGACACGATTCTAGAGGTGGCTCCAACAAATTCAAGAGCTCAATTTTTTTCTACTTAAGGGGTTTCACAAATGGCAACAAATTCAAGAGCTCAATTTTTTTCTACTTAAGGGGTTTCACAAATGGTTCACAAATGATATTTTGATTCCCAACATATATTAAAATTTTTGGATGACAAGATTTTTATTCCATCGAATATTTGAAATTAGGATAAAGAAAGGGAATACATGCCCACCAACCAGGAAACTTGAAAACACACGAAAACTATAGAAATATGACTGAAGAATCTTATATAAAAGTTTGTACGCCTGATTGTATGCTTTTAACTACTTCAGGCTCTCATCAATTGCATGGCATACGTGATAGTTTCGAGTCCTTTAAAACAAATTTTAGTTTAGAATGCCCAATGAAAGAGATGAACTACTCAAGTTTCTATTGAAGCGGCCGTTCAATGCAAGGGGCCTTTTGGGACACCTCACGAGTCTGAAGTTGACTGACAGCAAGCAGCGTATTTCTAGGCAAGCACAACGTCACTTCAAGGACAACAACGTAAAGGAAGATTGTATGCTAAGCCTAGCTTATGTAGCATTGCAACTCGCCAGAAAAGGAAAAAATAAAGACTTGAGTTCTTCCAAAGCGAGAAATTCGATAGAAATTAAGCATAATACAAAACCCTAAGGTTTGGAGCCTTGCCTGGGACCATAAAAGGGCTGCGAGCGGGCGTTCTAACATAGTCCTCATTGTCCGAGCCGAATAGATCTCTCTCCTCAAAATCCTCATAAGCGACCATGCGGGAGGCGGACTCGGTCGCCTCCCCGTCATCCTCTTCGCCGCCGCCGTCGCTGGAGCTCCGGCTGCCAC